ACTCATGCACACAACTGCATTTGCATGCTGTCAGTATCTCAGTATCTTCCAAAATAGAAGACAAAAGATAAAAAAATTGGAGAGGGTAAAGACAATCACAGATTACAGGATGTGAAATGACACAGCTACAATTACTGGGTGACCGCACGCCGCATTCAACAGCAGCAGACCATTAAAGCCCTTAATACTAATGTGCCCGCATTGTTCACCAGTCTGGTAACACAGTTTAGTGCTGCTCTGGCTGAGGAGGGATCAAAATCTAAGCAGTTCATAGAAAGCTCACTCTTAGTCAAGGGCAGAATGGAAGAATGCCACCTGAGGTATCCTCTGGCTACACCTGAGCAGCCTGCTCTTTGGAGACTGCTGGTTACAGTGCCAGGTTTTTCACAAGGTACACTGCTCTGCCAGCTGGTGAATAGAGTTCAGTGCTGAGTAGAGTGGCTGGTAACCTAAACATAGAAGGGTTACAAAAGATATGAATACTCCAGTATAGTTCAGGGGAACTGACAGATCAAGGCAGGCTCTTTTTGAAGGGGAGTTTCTCCTCAGAAGCCCAATAGTACAGGCTAGAAAAAGTAATTTCTATACCTTCCCATGAATAAAGGCGCACACAGGATTTCATTAAGGAAATGAGTTAGTAATTTCTTCTGAGACCAGAGGGGCCTATATTTTGTCCTAGAACAAGGGCCAGGGGAAGTGCACTTCTCAGACTTGATTTACCAAAATTGGAAATGCTTGTGAACACCACAAACAGTGCTGAGATTAAATAGGGAAGAATGACTATGCAATTGAACACAACATTAAGAGAGATGGGAAAAACCCCACAGTTCTCCCAGTCATTCATAAAATGTTGACTAAGACTTTTGTTTCATTCATACAAAGCTTGGAAGTCCATTTAATAAATGGTACTGCCTTCATTTTGGAACTGATTGATCACTAGATGCATGCAAATCAGAATTACCAAATGAGATTCAATGTTTGTGCCTAATTGCTGAAAGTGTCTTTAGCAAGTCTTTTTTTCAGGTATCCTGTTGAAGTGACAAGCCTACAAAGTCAGATTACAGAGGACTTGATATAAAGAACTACATATCTGAACTAGTAAAGAAATCACCCAAACTTTAAATCAAAATACTGTCCCTCTAGTAAAGATGTTTTTAAGCATGCAATAACGAATTCTTGGCTATATGGAGAATGCATTCCTTCCTCCACTCCCCACTGAAAAACTTAGGGTTTTGTCTTCCCCTCCCCCTGCAAAGCCTATAAAAAACATCTCAAGAACTATGTAAAGAATTTTGTACTGAGACAATACAGAAGGGAACAAAGTGCACACTTCTTAAGAATATGATATGGTTCAATACAGTTATACAAAAAGAAACCATTTTGCTGAAGTGTTGAAAAAAGTGAGCACTTTAACAAAATGCTTAGGAAAACCCTAGAGTTTAATGATTATTCACCCAAAAGCATATCCAATCATTTGTGTCTGTTGTCACTCATTTACAGAAGACAAGGTGAAAAGCTGTCCATTTTTAAGTGGCAAAACCAACTAGACCAAAGACACTAAAAAACCCCAAACATCTGCCACTGCTGCAAGGGCTTCTTCTCCTTTAGCAAAGAAATTAAAACCAAGGTATTCATGCTGCTTTTGAGAACTGGATTGATGGGTAGATTGTCCTGTGAGACCTTTTCTCTCAGCCCAGTCACTGAAAAGGAAAACCAACATGCTAAGCAGGAAATTCACAATTCCAGATAATCACACTGAAACCTGCCAGTTCAGCAGCAATTCATTCCAAATTCAGCAGCATATGGCTTGCATGTGTAAAGCAGCCATGACTCCACAGATCTGTCTGAAGAGGCTGGCAACCAGCTCACCCTACATTCCAACACCCCCAAAAAATTACTGCTGTGGTGTTCCCCCTACACTTTTTAACACCTTGTTATTTTAATACTTAAAATAATCAACTTACTTTTAATATGGATAAAAGTCTCCCTACAGAACTCAACTAAACTTACATCCATATATACTCCCCATGTTTCATAAATACAGACACACATTTTATGTTTTAGTTTTACTTAAAACACGTTGCAGGATTTCCTAAGATATTTCTATCCGTTACAGCACAGAAACCTCACAACATCCTGGACATGAAATACATGTTTTCAAAGAGAACAAACCTACCTCCAAAACTAACCCAGAGAAAACAAAGCCCCTCTCCAAACAAAAACAAGCCCCAAAAGGCCTACAACCCATCATCAAAGCCACAAAAAGAAAAAAAAAAAAGGCCAAAACGTGTTTCAGCTTCATTACAGTTAGCCTTCAGGTTTCCCCTGCATTCAAAATTAATTTGTCTATTAGAGATGCAACTTACACCACTAAGTAAGTCCTTCCTTTGATTTTCATCCTAAAGTATATTCACAACTGTATCTGCAAACAGTATCTTCATCTGGTGAAAAAAACTATCTCCCCTACCCCAGTTAAAACCAGTGGTGGTAGTGGCATAATTTGTACTAACTAGGTATGTGTTTTCACATTAAAACAAAACGAACTTTGTCAGAAACACAAAAAGCTGTAGCCATCTACATTTCTCCACAGATTACACTTGATCTGCACTTATTTTATAACACTAGAAGTGAATAAAAATGTTTCCTTCCTAAAATATAATGGTCATGCACACAGCTGTCTGATCTCAATGAGAGACTGTTCCGAGGACACACTCTAGTTCGGTAAAAAAAGTTGCTTTAAACTGATCTGGGGTCATAGGAAAAAGAAACAAATGGAGAGTTTATTTAAAGTGGCTTGCAGGATTCAGTGGCTAATTAGTGCATCTTTTTGTGTAATCATGTCTATGCCCCCCCTATGGCACAAAGTGTAAAGTCATTTAATTAATTAATCTATTTATTTCAGAACTACTGTTGCAATTTTAAAGTTTCTATTAAGTTAAAATCTTACACAATTTGACAGGCAAAAATGAAGGCTTTTTCTGAACTGTGTTTCTGAGGCAGCAAAGTTAAGGTGTGGCAACTCTGTCTTACAAACACAGATCCCTGTACAAAGGAAGCTAGGCTATCGCAAACAGCGTAGTAGTTTCTGTTCAAGCTTAATAAAGTAAATAACTGCACTGGAAAATATTCTGTTCTGGGCTTTCTGCCATACAGGAAGGGTGTTGAACATGTCAGTATCCATAATTATTATCAACAGAAAAAATACCAGAAAGCAACAGTTCAGCTCTTAATTCTTTCATGTTATCATTTTAAGGAGTGAAGTGCAATTTACATCTTCCTCCCTGCTGTATTCATTCCAATGTGTCTATACATTTTAAAGCTAGGCTACAGGTCAGAAATTTGTTTCTCTGACTATTAAACACAATTTTAACTTTATTTTTTCCTTTCATCAGAACTAAGCTACTGAATAGTTCACATTATCTGCTGCTCTTTTCATGAATGGAAAGGGGAAGAAGTTTTAACCTCCCTTTTTAGATGAAGAATTATTCCACTATCATTTTTTTCCTAAGAATAAGAACATTTCTTGGGTAGGAAAGGGAACGTTAACAAATGCCTTTCTACTGCATACTTATGTATCAACCTATACACACAATGCTGTCATAATTGCATATTCAGTTTAAGCAATCATTATTGTACAAAAGCAATTCTGGACAGCAATCGCAGCCGTAAGATCACTGGCTGGTGATCACCAGCAATTACAGCACTGCCATTCATTGCAGTGCTGCTTGTCAGCTAAGGTATTAGAATGAGCATGTTCTTGGTGAACTGCAAAATTAAATGGACCAACTAAAAATCACCACAAATGTACTTTATGCAAATGAGTTCTAATTGACATTGGTGACAAGCTAGCATGGCACAAGGCAAACCACTGTCTGAGGTGATGAGGAGTGACTCAAGATGGCTTAACTGTGATTACTCATCTCTCACAGCCCCCAGCATTCACATCATGCACATCTGAAGATTCAGTATTAGTTTTAGTATCCCTAAGAAATTATTAGAGTTGCTACAAGCATTTTAAAATGCTTTGGAAACTATTAATTTATGCGTGAAAACAGAGATCCAAATTTCATAATCCTGCAGAAAATTTTCAATTAAGAATCAAGGTTCTGCAGGCACAAAATCTGTTGATATCAGGATGATATAATCCAATTCTCACATTTTAAAAAATATTAATATAGGACAATATATGAGAATTAATACATCAAGTGTCTGCATACAGAGTTAACATCCTGAATTGAGTACTGATTTATCCTAAATAAGTTCTGAAACAGAGACAGCAAAGCAGATTTATTCTGAAATTCAGATGTTACAATTTATGTATTAAGCCAAAACCAACAATCATTATTTCTAGTTCTGACAGTGAAAGCCAAACTACATTTTCTGCGTTCTTTAAGCAAAAATTTTAGTTAGAACGTGTCTTTGTAAAACTGCAAATTTTCTGCTTGAAAGATCTGTACAAATCAATGCTGAACTTGATTCCAAACACATTTTTATTTTCCCTATAGACACTATCACTAAGATACATGTCCATAAACACATTGCCCACTTAAAATAATTTACTACCTTAGTATTGATAACTGAAACCAAACTCAGTTTAAAACTTGTTCTTTAACAAAATGCAATGAATCATACCAAATCTTTACGTGCAAATCTGTGTAACACTGTACACCACTAGGCAGAAAGTACAAAAAGGACTGGTTCTCAATGTTGCATCAATTCATCATACACTAGCTTTTCTTTTTTCAACAACAGACCTGCATTTCAGGTTTGAGTTACAACAGTGCATACATTCCCAGGGACACAGAACACCATAATGATGCTTCTGTTTGATGCAATTAAATGAATGCTTTATAGTCAGATTCTAACATTCTGATATACAAAATGCACCATACTAACACTGGGCAACACATTTTAGAAACAGTGTTTCTTTCCAGCAATGCTATACAAGACAATGGTTAACTCTACTACGCTTACTAAATTTCTGAAAACAAGGCATGTACCTGTTCCTTTACAGAAGCTAATATGGTAGTGGCAGTTGTCTCTGGTTCCATGCCTGGGCCAGTGGAAGGCTCCTGTGTTGTCTGTGGCAGCCCCTCCTCCACCATCGGGGTCTGCTCAGGGGCTGGCATTTTGCCTGCAACAAAAATATTTAAACAGTTTACATTTTGAGCTGGTGATGCTTAAAATTCAAGTTTTCAGGATTACAAATTTGCACATTTTTTCTACAATATTTCCAAACTTACTCAAATTAGCAGACAACCTTGTATTATTAATAACAACATATGTTGCTACTACTGTGCTTCACCTTCACAAATTGAAATCAGTATTACAGAACATGAGGGCCGGGCAAATTCAAGCAGGCAACATGATGTTTAAAGATCATTTTAAAAAACACTAGTTTGCAGCATTTGCTGAAAATCCAAGATGTGTGAAAAATACTCTTGCTAAACATTAAGAACACTGAGGATCAGTAAAAGTTTACCACATGCAGTTTTTAGCATAGAAGAATGACATGTAACAGCAGAATGTTTTGCTGTTAGGACCAAACCATAGAAGAGACTAATTATGGTAATAAAAAGTTAATGGGAATAATGCTTCTAGTGCTCCTTTTGCAAAAGAGGAAATTAAATCACTAAAGTTAAACCAATTGCCCTGAGCTATGGATAGCATGGAAAGACCAACAGGATTAATGTTCAAGAATCCCAAGCTTCATTATTGCGGAGGCAGCACACTAACATTTCCAGTAGATGTAAAAAAAAGCAATTTATAACTTTAACTATAGAACTGATTATTAGCCAATATTACAAACAGTTATGAAGTGTTTAATACTTTGAAAATAGCAAGGAGGTGGTATTAATGAAGCTTCTGCATGTTTACCATGCTTTAATTCCCTCAGAAAAAAGAAAATAAAGCTTATAAGGCCTTACTTTAGAAGCAGTCAATATTTCATTTTAGATTTTCAGAACAAACTCAGTATTCCTAGAGGAGATAAATATGAACAGCAGCTTCCTTCCCTTCATTTCACAAAGAGCACTGGGCAGCTTACACAGCAAACAGGCTCCAAGGCTGGGAGCAGAATGGTAAGACCTGTCAGTCCTGACCCATTTTAACCACAACCATCCCCTCACCACCTGCCTTCTAAATGCTGAGCCCACACTACCCTAAAAAAGACACTGGTCAATCTGCAAGAGCACTGGCTGTGCTGTAAAGCTGCATGTTTCTGATCTGGCTGAAGAGCAGGTGAGTTGACCCACAAGGGATCTCTTCTGGAATCACCCCATGGGATCACTCACTCTTGGGCCAGTACAAGCACAGGCTGAATACAGGCAAAGCAGCAGGCTGTGAGAGGAACCAGAGATGTGACATAAGAAGTACTTCCATTCTGTTTCTTGTACAGCAGCATGTGCTCCATGAGAGGGTGACTTTTGCCCAGTCTTTTGAGCCCCTTCAAGCAAGTGAGCAGGTGGCCTGTACTAACCACACCAGCCCAGCCTGCTGACAGACCTGGCAACACGGTGGATGTGCAGTCCCACGACAGCCACAGCTTCAGAGGAACCACACCGAGGAGTGATGAGAGGCAAAAGGGTGGTCACAGGGGTAACACATGGTGCAAGAGCCTGGCCACGCATCAGCTGCTAGCACAGCAACTGGAGCAAGAGAAGCTGCTTCCCAAAGCACGCCAGAGCAAGAGCCTGGGGCCCAGCTGCTGGCTGGAGAAGGGCCCCTCCTCCCCTCAGCGAGGGCACAGGGACACGGGGAGACCCCCAGTTACCTGGAGAGTCTGTACAAACAGCCCGTTCTCACCTTATATTGCATTCAACTTCTGGAGCAAGAAAAAACAATTGCACAAATCAACTTTTTGGCATCAGGATTGCAGAGGGAAATCTAGCACGTTAGTTTGGTGACACAGAGAGCAATTCCTTTTCCTTTTTCCCTCACCTTCCAACAGGACCAAACCACAAACATGGTAGCATCAACACTATGCCACACTCTGTCCTACTCCTGACCTAAAATAACTAAGCCCAGAGTAGGCGTTTCTTCCTCTCCCACCACACACACAGCACCTCAGGCCCAGCAGAGCCCTTCCTGCCCATCCAGCCTCACCTCTCCCCAGCTGGCCCTGGGGAAGGTGCTGAGGAGACTGGCACAGGGCACCCGGGGTCCACCTCTACCAGAGCAGCTGCCATACACTCAGCTGATTTTTTAACAACATAAAAAAAACCCTACCATTTCTTCCTCTGTCACTTTATCACACCCAGCTGATCTCCATCTGTGTTGAATGCCTGTGGGTACTCTGAAGGAGACCAAGGAGGCTCTCTTACAAACGGAACAGAACTTACTCTTGGAAAATAAATGTAAAGTGCTAGGATATGCAAGGTGTCTTCCAAAGTACCACAAAATGAAGAGCCAGCCATACCTGGCCACTTTTGAAGCAACATTTTAATAATTTCAAGCTTGCAAATACAAAGGCTGCCATACAGATTTTTATAAACGAACCATAACCCTGGTACACACCTAAACCTTCAAGGACCCTTGTTTCTACATGAGCAAGTTAAACAGCATTCAAGAAAGTGAAAAAAAAAGTGATCTAATAGTTATAGGATTTTGCAAAGTCAAAGAGAAAGATTTCTAGAAAATAAAAAGGTATTCCTTTAATGTTTTACTTGTGAAATTCAACTCTTTCATCGAGCTCTAATAACCTAAAGAATCTTAGAATTCTTGTTACGATTCCCTGGGTCATACCCGATTTTAAAAACCACTTTCTAGAATTCTTTTATTTCTAGAATGAGTGTTTCAGGTTTCTAAATGGACTGTTAAATTTACAAACATATAATGAAGTAATGAAACTACTCAGTCAAGCTTTACCTTCATCTAGAATATTTGCTAAGTAATCAAAAGGCCAAAACTCAAAAACTCTCACAAGTTACACATGAGCTTCCTTCAAAAATGGGCTCCTTTCTTGTCCGTACATCCCAACATGCCTTCACCTGCACAGTAACCTTGGGAGTGTCCACTGTGCTTTGGGATTTCCAAGGAAGAAACACAAAACTACAGTACAATAAATAAAAGCCAATATTTGAAATTTAAAAAAGCAGCAATGAATTCTCAATTATGCAAAATTATGAACGTCTGTTGCTTTAAATCAATTAAATATTTAGATGCATTGTGGGCAGCTCAGCCACACGCAGCCACTCACACATTCCACAGTGGGATGGAGAGGAGAACCAAAGGGCAAAAGGGTGAAACCTGAGGCTTCAGATAAAGGCAGTTGAACAGAGAAAACAAAAGCTGCACGCCCAGGCAGAGCAAAACAGGGAATCAGCCCAGTGCTGCCCCTCAGCAGGCAGGTGTTCTGCCATGTCTGGGAAAGCAGGGCTCCCCCATGTGCAGCGGTGGCTGGAGAAGGCAAAGGCCTCAACTCTGCACGTCCCTCCTTCCTCCTCCTCTCACCCAGCTCTTCTGCTGAGCCCAATGCCTTGTGCCTCCCAGGCTGCTCGCTGGTGGGGCAGGTTGAGGAGCAGCCAAGGCCTGGAGGCTGTGACCAACATGTGCCACCAGCCCTGCTTGGTCACACACCCAGCAACTGCTCCACGGGAGCCACTGTGAAAAACCCCAACTCTATCCCAGCCAAAACTGGTACAACATGCCATCATGGTCATACTTTCGAGTTTCCAGTTCTTTCCAAAGGTTTAACTACCATTTACACCAAAATCAGTGCAATATTTGTTCCATCAAACAAGAGACTTTGTTATAAAAAAAACAAACTTGACTTTTTGAAGCTTCTATGATGTGCCTCAAATTATTGTAAAAACATAGTGCCAAACCCTTGTAAGTGATCACTTTCAAAGCGCATTGTCTTAACGAATGCTTAACACCAGACCAACTGAAAACTGCTACAAAAATATGATTAGAACAGATGTGAGATCTCAGTTGGTCTTTTCCATTATTTTATCTGTCAGTCTCTTCTCACCCCAACACTGTGAAATAAGTCTTCAACATAACTCTAGGACACTTCTGTAGCCAGTCAAGAAAATGTACATCTAAACTAGATGGAAGGTATGGCAATTTCTCTGAACAGAAAATACATCCAGTATTGTCTTTAATAGTAACACTCAGATGAAAACAAATCAAATTAATTATTAATGAAGATGTCAGTGCTAAATGTACATCTACCCCAGTGTTAAGAGGTGTAATTATAGCACCAGAGCCTTCCAGAGAGGCAGTTGTTTTAACTGGTGTTCTTTCAATTAACACATTTCTTGGAAAAGTCACTTATTTTCTAATCTTGATTTCACAATCACAAACACAGACAACTGTTGGCTTTGATCCTACAAACACTTAGGCACATACTTAAGCTCTCACAAATGAGTGTGCTCACTCACTCCCACCTCCCGCGTGCGTTCCTGGACGCACTCTGCAGCCCAGCCCGAGGACCCTGTCCTCACCACTGTGCCTCTGTTCAGGCATGCTGTTTGAGGAAAGGAACTAAGTCAACTTAGAGTCTCACCTCACGGGAGGAGGAAATACCAAATGCAGGAGATGTGAGAGCCTTCAAATCAGGTATGAGAAAAACTTGAGGAGTTAATAAGAAAACCTCTTTCTGCCTTACGCAAGACTGGGATTTACTGGTTGAAGAGACTTTCTGAGCTGCATTGCTCACTCCTTTGGCCATACTATATCCATACTTTGGGTATAGATAACTAGTTCACTATTAGAAAACAAGCAACCAGACTTCATCCCTCAAAAATTGTGTCCATAGTTACATTGCCTGCCTCCTATCTCATGACCCAGCAGAGATATCTCACCCAGAATGGGAAACTTTGTACCTACACCTTTCCCTGTCCATCCCCTACAGCACTTCACTGCAGGATCACAGCTACTAAGCTGCAGTCAGGATGAATGTGGGGCTGCTTTCCACAAACCTTACACATGGATGAATCAGACAGTATACACAGGTACAACTTATAAATGCCTTAAACAACCTTAAAGCTTCCCTGTACTCCAGCTCTTTAATTATCGCAGATTGCTCCTGCACATTAAAGACACTGAGACCTATGCAGTCATTGAGAACTCAGAAAACATGTTTTGCTCTTCTACTGCTTTATGCACTGCATTTCAGCATACCTTATTC